CAGGGAAGGGCGGCCGGCCCGCCTCGCCCGCCGTTCGGGTGCGTCGTTAGCATCGCCCCGCGCCGCCCGGCCCTGCGGCCGCCGACCGCCCCTCGCCCCGCCGCGGGCTCCGCTCTGCGGCCGGGCGAGGCCGTGTCGTGCCGGCAAGGCCGGGCGGGGGGCGGCGGCGCCGCGCTCCCTGCCGGTCCCTGCGCTCACCCGCCAGCACGGCGGCCACCGTGCTCAGCAGCAGCCAGTTCCTCCTCACGAAGCTCGGACAGAAGATTCCCTTCTTGACAGTCTGCGCCATGGCGAGGGGCGGCGGGGCTGGGGCGCTCGGCGCCCCGCGAAGCCGTGCGGAGCCGGGCCGGGCCGGGCCGGGCCGAGCCGAGCCGAGCCGAGCTTAGCCGAGCGAGCCGAGCCGCCTGCGTGCGCTCCGCGGGGCTACGCGCCTACCGCGACGAGGCGGAGACGTTGCGCTTCACCTGGCAACGGGAGAGCCCGGCCCCCGCCCGCCCCTCGCCCGGCCTGCCCACCTGCCGCCCAGCCCACCCCGGCGCCTGCTGCGAAAATGGGGGGCCTGGCCCACGCCAATATCCGTAGGATCTCCTTGCGGGGCTTTATCCTGGTAGATTTATCAAAAGAGCAACGAAGGGTTTATTTCTCTGTGCAACTTCTTGACGGTGGTTTCCTTCTCCCTCGCCACCCATAAGCGTACTTAATAATTGGGACCCGATTGCCTGTGGGCTTATGGTAGGGTTTTCAGTATGTTTATAAACTTGTTGATTATGATTTTCAAGCCTAGAGATCAATAGATGTAAAAAGGACAACTGCTATTGTCTTGCTGAATGACACGAAGGAGTGTGAAGAATGAAAGTTTAATTTATCTTATTTAATTACAGTTGACACCATCCATTTCAAAACATACACTAGTGAGGTTTGCCTGATTTCTTTCTATGGTGACTGGGTAACTAAGGCCTGGAGTAGATCAGCAAAAACTGTAACTGACACCTTGTCACATTTGCTCTTCACATGGATCTGGTTGTTCTGGGTGACAGCTTGGGGAAAGAGACAAGGATGTATCTTGCTGAGTCAGGAAAGAGTGCTGAAATCCACCTGGATGAGAAGCAAGTGCCATCATCTATCCCAAGTATTAAAACCTGGACCCAGCTGCATAAATTTATATAAAGACACATAATTTTCAAATGTGTAGAACAACTGCAATAATTTGTCTACATCTGTCACCATCAGGAAAATTTAATTGAAAAAATGCAAGGAAGCCTAGCTGTAGAAAGGAAGCAGATGAGTAAGTATTATATTAGTGTAATTAAATTATAAAAGGTTCTAGACCACTTAAAAGGAAAGCTGGCATACTACTGTGTTACAAGCCACAGCAAAGCAAAACAAAAGTAACTAATGCAAAGAAATGGTAAGAAAGACCATGACTGCATTCAGACTTGGGTATGGAAACCTGACAAAGTATGAGTGGCACTGAAGAGCTATATGAAGAAAAAGGCTTATGAGGTTCAAGGGTGGGCAGGATCAGGTGTATTCTGTGCAGAAGAGCTCTGACTTTGGTTCTCATTGCCACTGGGTGTAATTTTTAATCTTTTTTTAATTTTCTCCCACATATACTATGAGTCTTAGATGTTGCTTTCAGTAACCAAAAGGTCTGATTTGTCCCAGCAGGCACCAAGGTGGTGCCTTTCTAGACAGTAGGAAAAAATCAGTTGCAAGACAACTTCAGAATTTAGGCCTTCATTTAATTTTCTCTCTATTCACTTTCTCATGCACCCCTGCCTTTTTTTTTTTTTTGGTAGCTGTTTTGGTGTGCTAGGGGATATAATTGCAATTCAGTTGTTCCTAAAGACCAGATAAAATTAAGCTAAAATTAAACTCTATGGAGTTTCCATGATTTTTGTGTTTCTCTTAATACTTTAAGTATCCTTTTTTTCATGTTAAGGATTTCATAGTGCCTTCTTGGGAGAGCTAGAATTCTCTGCAGCACACTCAGCACAGAAAAATGCTCTCCTACAGGTAAAAAGCAATGTGATTGTAGCTGATATAAGCCTTCCTGGAGCTTGCAATATCTGAAAGGAGTTGTGCAACCTTAGAAAAAACATAATACAATTATGCTATACAACTTGTGAAGATTAGAGACATATCTTATTTTCATATTCTGCAACAGCAAGACAATGTATATCGAATAGCATTGAAGACCTCTACATACCTTTTGTTTCCTATTAAAGTACAATGTTCCTGTTCTTTTCTGCTAGTGTTTAGTCCCTAAAAATATTAAGGAAAAAAAAGCATGCCAAAATTCTAGGCTTTTTTATCTTAATAGTTTGTCTTTCTTTTTTTTCACTTCATCAAATGTAATTCTATGGACATGACCTTGGAAAAAAAAGTTGATAGCACAGGATCCATGGAAAGTTAAAGAAGTGTTTAAAAAAAATTAGACAGGTGAAATAGAGATGTTTCAAGCATCCTGATGAGCAAGCTGTTTTTAATTTCATCTTCCTGTTATAGAATGACAGAAATTGGCTTTGATCCTGTATATGGAGTCAAGCTGGCACTTTCTGTATGCAGAGCTATATAAAAACCCCCAACCCTATAATAAAAGTGTCCAAATAAAATGGAAAAGAAAGGTAGTCCAAGCCTATGGATCATTCCTGAAGTGTTGAAGTTATTTTAAAAATTAACTCAGCTATGGAAAAAGACCAAAAGACATAATACTTTGGAGGACGAGCTGCCTGTACAGCTACCAAGCACAGCTGCTGAGCAAACAAAAATCTAAATTCTATTTAAACCATTTTTATCCTTTCCTGATTTTGAGAGATCCTGGAGTCACTATGGAATTAACAGAATGCATGTCAATGCACTTTATCTGTAAAGAGGATAAGAGTACATTCTTTAGCTATATTGATGACTGTTACGTAGTTCTCAGAGGAGATCATGGTCAAGATTGTATGCGTGACAAAATGGGTTTGATTTTTGGGTTTAATTTTTTTTAATGTTAATGTTAACATACAGGGGAATCATCCCTGAAAATCTGAACACTTGCTTGGGAAACAGTGACATGCATTGACATGGTTTTTTCCCTGAAGTCTAAAATAATCCAGATGACATTGTTGTAGACCTAGGATCATACATAAATATGTAAGTAACTATTCTTTTGACAAGTTATTGCCACATAGTGACCTAATATTTATGTATCCCTTTTTCTGAACATTCATTTCCAATCTGTAGAACCCTTCTAACAATATTTTAAGTTAATTACTTAAGAACATAGCAAGTGACTTCACAGGCTAGGAATATTTTCAACATTTTGAGGCATTTCAGTGTTTCAGTGCTGGGAGAGGCAGAGCAGTCCGACCAGAACACGTACAGTACCGTATAGAGTAGAGTGTAGCAATTGGAAGCTTGCCTCTGCAGAATCCTTAAAAAAGATCATCAGAGATTGTAGTTCAGAGAAAAAAGCAATTCAGTTTAACTTATCTAGACTTTCAAT